TCATTGTGTTTTCGCAAGCGACAACTGTGTACCAGCTCTAATGCCATGGCGAAAGTTTGAGCAATACATACTTACTGTTCTGCCTTTGTCTGCACAGACCGGCACAGAACACTATTTAGATCTAAAATAAACATGCGATTTATTTCTCAGCAGTTTACCTTCACAGACATAACCAACTGCTTTTGTAACTCGTGTGTGTTTTTAACAGAAACTTTTGTGTTGGCCTACAAAATGAATCCCTGCAGGTATTATTGCCATTGCATTGGTGTATTAACCAGGGTTGGGGAAAGTTACTTTTAAAAGTAAAGCATTACAATATTGTGTTATTCCCTAAGAAGTAACTAATTGCATTAATTTTATGGAAAATAATGTGTCGTGTTACTTTTGCGTTACTTTTCCTCATCTGAGATGGGCTTGCTTGTTATATTTTTGGCAAATGTAAAAACCCTTTCACACAAAAAGTGAAATTAATAAGCCTCAGACTGAAGGAAATGTAAATTCATGTCTGTACAAACCTTTCAGCTGTGCTGCCTTTCTGGATTGCAGAAGAAACATGACAAAGGAAAAGAAAGTTCAACACTCTTACTTCAGCAATAAAACACGAATGTGATGTTTAGCTAGTCATTTTTGCGGATTCGTATAGTTGAAATGGATCATGGAAGGTCAGGAGCAAAGGTCTGCACTTACTCCCGATTTTCTTGCAAATTAAAAAGTAATGCATTATTTTACTAGTTACTTGGGAAAAGGTAATCCGATTACGTAATTTGTGTTACTTGTAATGCATTACCCCCAACACGTATTAAATATTACGTGTTAGCCTCACAACAGTTTTCCAAAACGATGTCCAAATAGCTATTTGGTTGACATTAACCAATACTGCTGTACAACCCCCCAAAAAAGTTGTAACTAGCAGCACTTGTAACTTCATGTTGATCTACAGCAATGAAGACAAACAGGACATATCAATTTGTTACATCCATTTTCTATTGTTTTATTACGTTCAATCACACCTCGGCAGAGAATGAAGCGGCCCCCTGGTGACTGAGACATTTATAACGGCACATTCACACTCCGATCAACACAAACATGCATTCATCCACCCGCTCGCGCACATTTGTACGATCTGTGCTTTTCTCATTCTCACACATACAATGTAACAGAAGTGGTGAAATGTCCTGTCAAGGATACCGAAATATCCCTGGTAAGATCTAGCTGTGTAGACACATAAAACCAAGCCTTGTTTTGATTGAGCTATCATACTGTAGAATTTATCAAAGTATATTAGGATGGAGTATAAGTAAAGAGCAATTTAATTACTTTTATTAATACATTGAGCGACCACCACCTTCAGTGGCAGGACAGGAAAGTCCCTCTCACAAACGAGGGTCCCTGACACCAACAGCTCAGTAGAACTACAAATGGAGGGCATCACAATTACATCTGAAGTGCGTCTGTTTCTGCTCTTTTTTTTTTTTTTTTTTACGAAGAAGGATTTATTTCAAACACTCGACTGACGTTATGAAGTGAGTTTGGAGTAAAAATATGTTATTAAATGTGGTATTTTCACATGCTTTCAGATGGAGCAGCATTATCTTCACAGAGCCGTAGTTCACTGAGAAGTTATGCATACAGCTGTCATTATCGCGAACGATTTCTTCGATTTCATAATCGCGCAATAAAATCGTCTGCGATTTTTTTGTGTAACTTGTCAGTGAACTACGGCTATGTGTAGTAAATTCTGCTCCATCTGAAAGCACGTGATGATGATTTCCTGCTGATTACAGAACCGGCTTTTTTAACAAAATGCGCATGACAATCGCATTCGATTAATCGTGCAGCCCTAATATGTAGCATACTTTATATCGCCCTACATCAGTACACTATGTATGTGGATAAAGTTGGATATAAATAATTACACACGCACACACACACACCTCTGCAATAATACATTTACATTTTGCAATGATATTAGATTTGCTATATCATACATATTGCATTACATGACATATACTGTATGTATGCAGATAAAGTAGGATTTACTGTATAACTTAATATATCGCTGGACAACCATATAGCTTACTTTTTTCAATGATATAACAATCAAGCAGTTTGCTATATAATATGCTATATACAGTACATGCAGCTTAAGCAGGGCCGTGCAGAGACCTTTGGAGGGGCAGGTGCTCAAAGTATAAAAGGGGCACATGGAGCACGGCTTTTAATAGGGCTGTGCTCCTTGCTGAGACATGTATCGAAACGGATGCTACTGTATTGATAGCAGCAAAAGCCGTGACGCAGTTTTAAAAAAGAAACACAGATTCATTTTACTAATAGTTAGATTGGGCAGGCCTTCACAAAATGGCGTTTAATTACAAAAAATAAATAAAAATAAAATTGCCTTGACAAAAGGGCACTTTGGGCATCAAGGGGAAAGGGGCAGGTGCTCAAGCACCCATCGCACCCCCCTCTGCACGTGCCTGAGCTTAAGTGTAAGTGTACTGTACTGTAATTTGGATATACGTATAGTAGTTTTATTATTCATTATTCATTTGAGTTCAAAATGTGGAGATAATGAGCAATATGAAACCTGTGGTGTTTTGTTCAATTTTGAACAATTTGGTGTAGCGCCAAGCCTTGGTGATGTGCATCACTGACTGTCATTCATTGTCCCTAACTGCTTTAGCATGTAATATCATGAATCATGACCAGTATTCACACAGAGGTAGCGAGGTTTCTTACCTAGCAAACCGCCATATGATGACGACTGTTTAGGTGGCACTCCAAAAAACAGTTGTCCTATTCTATCCAGATACTGAGGTCAAGAGAAGAACATATACACAAAGTCCAAAAGTCTTATCTCATACCAAATCCATGCCACATTATAACAGTGAAGGTGAATCTCTCTGAATGATGCCTGCAACCTTTAACATGTTTTACTGTGTGTATTTGTTTTATGTAACTATCCTTATTACATTAGCTTAGCATCAAGCCAACGTCAAACTCTTTTGTAATATACTGTGCAGACAGCTTATTAGGTCAAAAGCAGAACCCTTTTATCTCTAGGTACTGAGAAAGAAAAAAAGGATGTTTGTGATATGTTTAAGAGCATTACTATTACTAACTCACCTCATTGTACATAGGGTCTCTCTTCAGTGATGGCTGATACTGCTCGCATAACACTGTGAAGACTGTCAACTTTCCACTGGAAATAAAACCACAATCATCCAGAGGTTGTGTTCCATCATTTGCTTAAACACTGATGGATGATTCAAAATGTCAGATAAAGTTACTTAGTCTAGCGCATATCTCTTCAACTCCAGTCCTAGAGGAACAGTGTCTGGAAGACTTTAGAAACACTCCAATGTAACCCATGTGTCTGTAATTTACAAGTAATTCTAAACATCTTTAACAGCTTGTTCACATATGCTTGATTAGAGTTAGAGATAGACTCAGCAGGACAATGGCCCTCTAGGACTGGAGAATGAAGAGCTCTGGTCTGTTGCGTTTCCACAGTAAAGGATGCTAAGAGGCACCAGAAGTGAAGAGAAGGGGAGAAACATCACATTTTAAAAGCTGGGGAAAAGGCGTAAGTGAAAAGTAGTGGGGAGAAAGTCTAGAGGAATCAGTCATGGGATACCGTTTCTTAAATCGGGTCACCAGATCATAAGATCACACCGTTGTTTTTTCTCGCATTACAAAAGAAAAAGAAAAAGCCAAGAACCTGCAACACGGCTCTTAGTAAGACTAAAATAACTCAGTCTCACGGATATCAAACGGCACTTCTTACTCCTGCATAAAAACAGAGCAGCAGACCAGAAAATGCCCACTCAGACTGTCAATGTGAATATTTGTAGAATTTTGTCTCAGAATTTTAGAATATAGATCAGGGGTTCTCAACTCTAGGTCCATTTTCTTGCATAGATTAGCTCCAGTCCTAATGAAACACCTAAACAAGCTAATCAAGGTCTTCAGGATTACTTACCGTCATGTACCGTGAAACGGTATAATTTTGAAAAATACCGTGATATAAATTTTTGGTCATACCGCCCAGCACTACTAGAAAGTTACAGGCAGATAAGTTTGATCAAGGTTGGAACAAGAAAGTGGACCTCAAGAGACTGAGCTGAGAATATAATACGGAATGCTCTATAATAGAGAGAAAGGGCCTGATGCTGACAGTATCTCACCCGTCCACAGCCAGCAGGAGGAACCACAGGAAGTTCAGCAGAGGCTGCACATACGGAGGACCCTTCTCTATAGACGGGTGCTTCTGTGTGTATGTGGTGAACACCACCAATGCGCTTGTCTTATTTTTTAAACAAAGGAACCTGCAGTCAAGAAAAGATACTGGAGATGTATACCAATCATAAAAAAATAAGCATTCAACAAATTTACTGAATGTGACAATATTAGTTTAAATCACTGCACTTTAACCCATTTTATAAAAGCAGGAGTAGAGTAAAAAAAAAAGTATTTCATACATCATAAAAGCAGTCCATACGACTTCTGCACTATTTTACAATTCTTCTGAATGCTATTTATATGATAGCTTGTGTGAAGCAGATCCAAACTTAAGTTGTTTCCTTTCATTTTCGCTTCACTTCACATTGTGTCAGTAGCTTAGAAAACACTGTGGGTGCTTCTCAAATGGAAGGCTGCATCCTACGAATGCTGCATATCTCAGCTGCCAGCCTGCCACGTCATCAAATGTCGCTGAAGGCCATCTCAATCGGAAGGATCCTTAGGCCCTGTACCAAATGGAAGACTCATGTGCACTTGCGGTCTTACGGACTTACAATGGCCGCCGCATGCGCGTGTCCATTAAGTCCACGAGACCTTATGGTGTCCCATTTGTCGTTTTAGCGTTCTGAAGGGTGCTCGCGAGCGCCCCCTTTGCGGCCGTTATGTGCCCTCGATCCGCACTTCTGCCGAGCCCGCACTGGTGCGAGCTCCGCAGCAGACTTCTACCCGACAGTCAAAGCGGCATTACGTCATGAAAGTGCGGACTCAGAGGAAGACCGCGAGGGTTTAGTGTGCCATTTGGGACAGGGCCTTAGAAGGCAGTCTTCGTTTTGCCTCCTTCATTCAGCTGAATTTGAAGAATGCATGGGATGTATACTTTTATACACTTTATATACTTCTAGCGTTTAATGCCAAGAAGGACTCTAGCCTACAAGCCTCCGAAGGACTGAACTAGGAAGGACACAGCCTCGGTAGGATGCAGCCTTCCGTTTGAGAAGCACCCAGTGTAAAACTCTGGCCAATGGTGTTCAAGTGTGCCTAACAATTTTACTCCGTCTGAAGAAAAAGCCTAAAGACTAAGATCCTGTCATTGAGAAGCACCTCTGCAGCCGACAACATAGCAAATCGACACCCGCTGCATGCCTACCAAGAAAAGATTAGAGTATTATTTCCTATCTACAAAAGCAAATTGCTCCCAAAGGCACGTTGCTTCAAACGGACCCTTTGTGTAAGGGTCCCCTCAAGCTGTCCAATGGGCATGAGAGCTGCGTGTTCTGCCTGGGCTATGCCCACACTGAAGCCTCTCTCAGTGACTGTCCTCACTGCAAAGACATGAGTCTCAGGATGCTGCGCTTTAGGGCTGCCTTCATTTTAGGGGATGACTCTGCTTCTTGTGCTCCCCTGTCTCCTACTTCTTTGCCATGGAAGCAGCAGCAGAAGAGCTTTTCAGCAACAATCTCATGCCAACTCCTGCATGTCTTGCACTCACCTGAACCTACATCCTTGCCCGTACTGTTTGCACGAGCTGACATTCGCCCCTCCCCTAAAGCCAATGGGGATGAAGCCATGTCACTGGCTGCCTCTGAGGAGGAAGAATAGTCAAGTGTGGTGGAAGAGTGAATCGGATGAGTCCCTCTTGAGTCTGAAGTCGAGAATTTTTGTGTACTTTCCAAGGCTGTGGAAGAACTTGGTTGTGGTTGAGCTGCTGCGCAAAGAGTCTAACGCTATGTGCCACTTTTTACTGAAGAGAGAAAGCTTAGCCCCTCATGCTCTTCATCTTTGTATGTTCATCCATTTATTAAAGTGGACCTGAAGGTTGCTTATTTTCATGTCCCAATGGTTCCTCATCACAGATGAGGGAATTTGAAGGAACAATGTACCAAATACACTGACCTTGTATTCAAGCTGTGTCTATACCCAAACACTTTCACAAAGTGTGTAAATGCTGCTCTCTCCCTTTTGAAAATGAGCAGAGTTTGTGTTTTGTATTCTCTCAATCACTGCTTATTAATGTCCCAGTGAAGTCTTATGCGAGCACAATACTCTGCTGCTCAATTGTATGCAGTCTTTGGGGTTAAAAGTCAATATGCCGAAAAACGTGTTGGAACCCAGCCTGCACATTTCCATTTTTAGTCATAGAGTTGAACTCCCCGACTATGCAAGCACATATTATAGTGGAGAACTCAAAGACAATAGGAGCTTTCGCACCAGATAGTTATAGGAACTTAGTTATAGGAACTAGCCACCAAGGCTAAAATGTTCCCCAGGGCCATTTTCTTGGTTGCATTTGAACCGCCAGTAGGAACTGACATAAGCCTGCCAACAGCGATGCCATTTAAGAGCAGAAAAAACTCCTGTACAGTTCTGTACAGTGGAGAACAACATATGGAGTATCATGTTTACTTCAAATTTCATTACTGTGAAACATGCAGTGCATATATTTATTTAATTAAACATTGCAGTCTTTGCTATTTCATAATTGTGTTACGCAAAACCATGATTTTGGTTTTATTTCAACGTGCAGCCCTAAATCAACGTGTAAGGTTTATAGAACCTCAGACACTTTGATCTTCTGAGACGGACAATACACACACAGTGTATTAACATAGAGACATCTGTTTCCACATCTCACTGAGAGAATATGCGGGAAAACGCCTCTCTCACATATGCATTAGTTCCTTTTCATCCCCTTCCTTCCCCTTACCCATCCTCCCTCCACTCAGCTCACCCAGAATGGTCAATAGAATAATATAATGTTCTACGTGATATTTACAGTCATGTTTGGTATCATTTGAAATGTCTCTGTGCGTCTGGTACAATGGTCTCAATCTTACAAGAAGTAAACTAAAAGTTAGGGCTTCCCCCCAATAGTCGACTAACCGTTAAAGGTTAGGCTAAAAGGTAATACGAATTCTAAGAGTTTGGAGATATTTTGCTCACTGTAGTGGGTGTGTCATTTTCCCAGTACTTTTCATGCAAATTACCATCCGTCTCCAAAAGGTGTTAATTCGGCTTGATCAATACAAATTCAAATTGTTAGTTCCTGTCTCCATTTTGGAGAATGCTTGTCTTGGTTTGACTGAGGTATTTAAGGAAATGTTGCAAGAAGCTCAGGTGCGATTACTCAAGTTTTTGATGAAATGGGGAGCGTTCTTATCCTCAAGATTTTTCAGAGAGCTCTGGGGCTGATGGCAGCAGCGTCAACTACCGCTTGGGCTGCTACACATGCACTCTATAGTGCCAAACTGTTACCTCAGCGCTCTGGCACCATGGACAGTGCACAGCTTTTATCAAAAAGACATGGACATGTTCCAGATTTCCAAATGAAAGAAAATCCTGACAGATGTGTCCAAGCACGGGTTCAGGCGTGTAGTGCAATGGCAGACCAGCTTTCGGCATCTGGACGGATGTAAAGAAAGCATGGCACATCAATTGAAATGAAAGCACTTCCTTTCAATACAGCGCTACTACTTGCTCTGGCTTCAGTGAAGCAAGTAGTTAATATGCAGGTGCTTTAGGTTACCTCTGCCTATTTGGGGTTTAAGCCAGTTGACTTCAGAGTCAATTTAAACCTAGAGAATTGATGGACCTAAAGTGTGCTGAAAAGGCTCTCAACACCGTTCAGAGCTCAGGTAATAAGGCTATCAGCCTTTTCTTACTGAGGGGCTAGCTGAACAGTCTTCATACATCTTGTGCCTTGTTAGGGCACTGTATATATATATTCAGCACTATAGCCAGAATATGCTTTCTAAGCAGCTTTTTGGGGTCACACTATAGGTTTTCTGTATTGAAACAGGGTTATACACCGGGTTGTGGATGCCATTTCATTGGCTTATGAATCTCAGGGCTTGCACTGCCCAATTGGAGTAAGAACCTATTCTACCAGAGAAATGGCTTCCTTCTTGGTGTGAGCAAATGTTGTGTCCATCTTAGTCTCGCGTAGCCAGACCTTCAGACTGACGGCAGAAGGTCTGGGAACCTTGGCCGCTTTGAATGGCTAAGGCCCGCCCCAAGAGGCCATATGACTGACAGGTAAAGCAACCAATCACATTTCGTTTTGTGCTGTGACGTGAGCAAATTAGGTAACGTGGTCGAAAACGCACCTCCGTTTTGGCATCGCCCACCGATCTGGTAACTCCCTTTACTGTCCTGTAGAGACCTATACTTGGTTTTCTCTCAACGGCTCCACTCTTGATCCGGGCCAGGCCAGGCCAGCTCTGTACTACAACATGGTGTGATTAGACACTGTTCCCCAGAGAGTCAGTTATATTGATGCAGTGTCAAGTGATTGAAAGGGAAAATCTCAGGTTGCGTAACCTCATTTTTCACAAGATGAGGAAATGAGACATTGCGTACAACCTTCTAAGATGTGCTATGCCTCTTTGCCTTCAGTGAAAAGATTCTGAGAAATTGGTGAACAGCACCACTTTATACATGCAGAAAGCCCACCATCAATTACGCGCACTTGAACGCCATTGGCCAGTGTTTTACACTGAAGTTAGAGCTGTACGATTAATCGGAATTCAACTGTAATCGCGATTCGGCAAAGGCTACGTTTTTGTCAAGCACAGCTTGTCAGTGAAACACGGTTCTGTGATCAGTAGTAAATCTTCATCCAAAGGCCAGAAGGCCTGAAACTCCAAACATGCCCAGCAGAAAAAAGGTAATGCACGTAGTTCCAGGAAATCCCATATAGTGGTAGCTGAATAAACAGAAGATTGAACTTCATTCAATGCATGAAAAAAGCCATAGAAGCTGGCATGGCGTTAAATACAAACAAACAACAAGGATTTTATTTTAAACACTCGACTGACGTTATGAAGCGAGTCTGGAGTAAAGACCTCTTGTCTTTTGGACAAGAGGTTCATAAATGCTTCTCATGTTTGGAAAGATGTTGCTTTTTAAAATGCATGTTATAAGCAGCTCAATCATTTACTGATAAAACATTTACTACTGGTCACAGAGCCGTACCTCACCAACAAGCTGCGCATAACAGCTTTCGCGATTTCATAATCACACTAAACCAAACGATTTAATCGCGATTTCGTTTCGATTTCAATCAATTGTGCAGCTCTAACTGAAGTTAATCAACAGGGCTTCTGTATTTTTGGAGAAAGGTGTTTTACATAGCTTCAGCAACTGATGTAATATCTCGTTCCCTCAGGGAACAAAGTTTATTTAGGGGTGTAACGGTACACGTATTCGTACCGAAAATTTTATAGTAATAGGCAGGCGCCTTAGTTCAAACGGCAGCACGGAGGACAAGTGAGCGTGATCATCCCTACCTCTTTACTACTAGTTTTAAGAGTGAAGAGAAGAGCATTTCACGAAATATTAGACTACTCATCATATTTTACTATGACAGCCACTGTGTACATGAATATATTTCAACAACAAATAAAAATTGAATAATTTAGAAGTTAATTTAAAAACTGCATTGTGTGCAATTTACATGTTTGCATAAAAATTTTTAAGTCGAGTGTTGATTATTATATTTAAAAATAAATAGTAATTAAATTTAAGTTTGGGCTCTGTTAATTGTAACCATATAGTAATGCAAAAGGGATCTAAAAGGGCTAGTTTAGAGCATAAGCTGAGGTAGATTTTTATGCCTAGGAAATTTTTAATTATAATTGGATTTATTTAAAGAAAGAGCAGTTTGTTCAGTAAACCACTATTTAATAAATAAAAAAAGAAACAATTTTGTGTTTAGTTTCCCCCCTGCTGGGATCTTCTAAACCATACCAAACCGAACCGTGACATCAAAATCAAGGTACGTACCGAACCATCATGTTTGTGTACCATTACACCCCTAGCCATGCAGAGACATAATTTCTCAGCTGTAGCTCTCAAGCATGATGCCGTTCGGCAGGTCACATTAGGTTTGACCTTAATATGGACTAGCTATATGTGCAATGTCACAACATCAAACCTGAAACATCAGATGTCACATCTGAACATAACTGAACAACAGAAAGCAAGATTTTCTGTGAACTTAAAATTGGGTCTGTTCCTCACACAAAGCTATCATATAGATTTGGAAGACATGAAATACAATGCATAAGAGGTTTTTTTTTTTCCTAATTTAAGTCAATTTGGAGCTAGACAGCCCCAGTCCCGATTCACTTCTGTACACTGTATAGCAGAGTGGCCTACACATTCTTTTCTTATATTTCTGCTTTTGTATTTTGCAATAGAAATAGTCAAACCGGTCTGAAACTGCATTGTGGTGTAAAAATAATAACAGAATTTTCAAACTCCAGAACTCACTGTAAGACGGCCTGTGCTACAAACATGTCCACCTCTCCATGAAATCCTCGCGCTGATGAATACTCCACCAACATCTGTGCACAGCCTTCTCCATCAGATGAGTGTAGAAAATGATAGCGTGATTCACTGTAGTTTTGCTCTAAATGCAAACAAACAAATGATGTGGGTTACCCATCCTCAAAACAGCTGATTGTTCCTTTAGAATTTATTGAATGGTTATTGTCATGTCTGTTTTACCTTTCCACAATGTGAGCGCCAGCAGCTGGTGTAGTTTGGGGTGGCCCAACTTCCCCGAGCCTCCTGATGACCACTTGATCGCTCTGGAGACAAACGCCACTCGCTCTGGTGAATTTGGGTCCATCAGGCTGAAGAGTTTAGCCAAATGCTCTAGAACAAACACCAAGAATGTAATTACACAATTAAAAGGCTATCATGTAATTGCTGCAGATAGTAGGTATTGTAGATTGTGTAGGGTTGGGAAATGTTGAATATTTATTATACTCTGTATTATTTTATTGAAGTTATGAAGTTAACCAATATTGTCAATATTATGCCGATTTTAATGTGCTTCTCATTTTGCCATTAAAATTTCCCATAGACTTTCATTAATTCAGTTTTGCAACTATTCCTTGTTTCATGATGTGACTAAATGAGTGTGAAGACAGAATTGAACTTCAGTAGCAAAATTTCAGTTAAGTTTTGACATATATGATTATGCCTTGATTATTTTAAACCACTATTACATTAAACATTTTTTTAGCTAACTGGCGGTTAGTTGAAATGATGGTTCCACTGACTGACCCAAAAAAAAAAAAACCACACACAAAAACAGCTTTTCAACTACTTTGAAGGAGCTAGTGTAAAAACATTAAAATAAATATAAAATAATAATAATGTCTTAATTAGTTATATTGCAAAGCTATTGCATTTAACAGCTTGGTGCTGCAGTGCATTTGAACTCAATATTGGCTACCAATATTCACACACTTGCTTTAGCTTAAAAATAAATAAACCTTCTGAATATTCTGACAATTCAGTTCTAACTACAGATAAAGCTAAATATAACCACACCTCTAATTGTTTGCCAAATTAATAACAATCACCAGCACAACAGCCTTAATAATATAATGTTCAATAAACTCACCTAGTGTCTCATCATCTACTTTGGCCCCAGATTTCTCCAGGGACTCTAGTTCCAGCATGGACAGATCTGCAGCACTGTTTTGCTGTTTAGAAAACAAACATTAGTGCAGAGATCTTACAGAGGAAAAAAAGTGAACTAATTGTGAACCAGTAACAACTGACCTGTTCAGAGATTTCATGACATGATAAATTAAGTCTCTGACTGACCTAAAATTGATAAGAGGAACACATACCTGATTATAACTAAAGAAGAGCAATGCTCCATTGTACATCAACTCTCTGGCCTCTGCATGCTTCGCTTGTGACATGTACCTGCACCCAAAGCAACATGGTATTAACACAGCGTTTCTGTGACTGAGATAGCGATCATACAGTCCTCATGGGACACAGCAAAAACATTAAAATAAATAAATAAATAAATGTCCATGATGATTCAAAAAAATATATACTTTTAAAAACAAAATCAAGTTTAATATATCATATATATTATATAATTATATTATATAACATATGTATAAAGTTCTTCAAAATATATTAATTGTATTCATGTTGGCTTTGACACACTTATTGGGCCTACATTTTTTATTTATATTTGGCCCTATAAATATTGTGATGTAACTATCCGGTAAAATGCAAAAACATTTTCTTTGAAAAACATGAAAACATGTGACTGTGCACATTGAAACTTTCCATATATATAAAATATGTATTTTTCAATTTAAAAAGTATTTTTTGTAACAAATACCATGAATTTTCAGAGAGTTCTATCCCACAACATTTTACAACCTGAACCTAAACCTTGCCATTAAAGGTCACGTTATTTTACTTTCTTTTTTTTTTTTGGAGACTTCTTGAGTTTGACACACAGTCATGAGGCTCCTTTTTTTCCTGCATGTTCCTTCATGTAGATTGCACATTGTGACTTACCAAAAATATCAATAAGCAGGTGAGTCTGTTAAGCCTATTTTTTCCCCTATGAAAAAAAGGTAATAAAACATATTTGACTACTAAAAATTTTATTTTCTTTTAATGAGGCTTTTTCTTTTTCCATTATGTTGTTAGTACATGTAGAGTCCATCACCCTGATAGTTACTTGCAATCTGATCTGTGCAACATTTGATACTGGTGATGTTGCTCCTCTCAGCATAATAAGTAAAAGACGTTTGGCCATCAAATACAAACGCTGCCTAGGTTGAAATCATGATGGCCCATTCGAAAGCCTATGAGACTATGATGCTCAAAATGCTGCCTAGGTAGGCAGCTCACTAGACAGCAGGTCAACAAAAGGAAGAATGAATTGCAGGTGTGGTTTTAAGAAATAATTTTTGTTGTCTTTATCACATTTGCCTGAATTCATCGGAAGATTTTAGTGACTTTAAACTTAAAAGGTGAAATTTCACAATTCTCCCACTGTCGTATTGTATACTATTGTTTTTTTTGTTTTTGTTTT